GCTGAGGGTCTGGCCGTAAGTGCTACTGGAGGAGCTCAGAAGTGAAACCACCAGAAAACCACATTGTGCTTAGGAACAAACAAGGATACCGACAGGCAGCCACATGTCCCCACGTGCTCCGAACGCATGGCCCGAGAGTGCCCCTGGTGAGATCAAGTCAGGAAATGCCATGAGCTCCCCTCTGCCTTCTCTCTGGATCATTGCTGGGGGGAAGAGTTTATCCCACAACCTATTGGGTGGGCAGGGGAGTTGATTTCCCAAAACCAATGGAGGAGATGCCACTGACTCTGCAGGTAGGGGACACACTTCACCAAAGGGGACATTTACCCTGCTTAGGGAGAGGACAATTTGGCCCCTCTGTGATAGATGCCACTAGTGAGATGCACTGGACAAGTCCCTACCACAATAAACCCATTTCAGCATCCCCCTCTTGCATGACTCGTGTCAACTGCATCCTTTATCAAGGAGGAACAAGCAGGTTTTTGGAAAGAGGCACCTGCAAATACATCCTCAGCCAGTTAATGTCATACATGCACTTTTGGCTGCTGGGCTCATGCTGCAGACTGGATCAGTCCTCAGCCTTCAGGGCATCCCACGCTGCTGGAGTGTAACACGGCCCAATGTTATTTCACAGGCTCCGTGGGCCAAACTCCATGCTAGCGTAAGCCAGCACAACTGCACCAAAGTCAACCTTGTGGCATCTGCCAGAGACAAAGCTGGGTCCCTTTGGTCCTCAGATCTCCCCCTGTAAGTCCATGTCAGTAACAACTTGGCTCAAAGCCTCAAACAATTCATCTATTTTCCCACCAAAGTGGTGATAACCTGTGAATGATATGTGCATGCATTCATTCAAGAGTTTTACATTGTACAAAGCCCTTGCACACATCTCACACACACACACACACACACAAACTGCCTGCACCACCAAGGCCTTCTCCCCATTCCACCCCCCATTCAATAACCTCTGCATGCTCCAAATGCCCTTGTTTAGCCCAATGCAGACACTTCCAATATCTTCTTTATTATCTCTCTAATCCAGGGTAAGCAATCATGTTTTGCAATGTGCACTTTGCATTTGCCACCAGTAAACAAAACTCCCACGCAAGTTCATTCAACAAGTTTCATTCATGGAATCAGCCGAACTTTCAAATCATTCCGAACATTTACTATGTCGATTTCATTTGTCCGACGCTTTAACCTGTCATTTCCTCATAAGCCACTTTCTCAGCTTTAATGTGCAGAGGAAGAACATCAACTAGAACTTCAAATACACAGAGCCAAGTCAACCCTCACCAGCAGAAAGCTATAAGCACTTCTTTTGTTAGTTTACTTTTATTATCACGCTCTGATGGGTTAACCCCCAAAAAACCCCTGGAGGTCAGATCATTGGGTCTATAAGGCTGATAAAATGCACATCTATGCACACACGCACACAATGGCGCCTACTTGGATTTAAGTGACAAAACGAGCCCATTCCCATGACAGGGGAACACAGTAAATGTTACCAACAGCTCCCAATTCCATAGGGGGACACTACTAAAATCAGGCAATAAATTTACACTTGGCAGCAAAGGGAGCTAAACCGACCCCTCTCTGCCTCGCCAATGTGGGCAGAAGCCTTGGAGAACAACACTTACGGGTTTTGTGCTCAATAAGGCACTAAAGAAGCCGATTTGTTTTTGACATTGCACTGAGAGTTCTCATCAAGGTCTAAATGCACAGACTGTTGTCATTTTTTCAAAAGGTGACACCATGCATAATCTTTCAGGAAAGGAATTTTTTAAAAAGGGAGGAAAGGGGCACTCTGTTTTCTATGTCTAACTAAAGGGTACTTTACACTCCAAAGGAAAAACCTAGGTCTGCTTTTCTATTAATCAACACCTCTTAAAGGCAAAATCCTCGCTACTTGGCCTTCAATTTCAATGGCTCATGTTTCTTTCAAAGCGCACATTAAAGCAAAGCTATTTAACTGTTGGAACATTTTTTTAAAACCTCACACAAATAAACAAAAGGAAAAAAACCCAGTTACAGTAGCAATAAGTGAAAGCAAGTATATTCAGGGTGGGACCTTTGTCAGCCCAAGTTCTCCCTATGCCTAGGTGCAGCATGGAAGACCACCCAGTGTTTGGGGAATCCTCCAGCACAGAGGGGATAAACGGGGTTGGAGTTAACAAAGAAGTTGCAGTCTGAGCTCTGAACTTCCTGGCTTTGGTGGGTTTAAGCTGGACCCCACACAATTACTTACAGCAGTTGCTTGTAGGGAAGTAGCCTGCAGGCCAAATTTTCACTCCCTGGTGCTATGGGTGTATTTGTAATAAATCACACCCTTGGACAGGCAAATCAGGGAGAGAAACACCCAATCACCCTCCTGTATAGGCAGCTACCTGATCTGAAGTCACAGGGTCCTGTTTGCATGCATAAGCATGGAAGTTCATGGGTAGCTTTGTGGAAGCAGCTGCTGGGAATTTAGTCTTTTTTTTTTAGAAAGTGGAACAGCAAGTGAAGGTGGGGAAGTGTCCCTGTGACAGAATAAGGGCTCCAAGGAGCCTGGAAAAGCCAGGCAAGGGAACTATTAAAGGACCATTGACACTGTCATATCAGTCAGGGCCTATTCCCGAACGCGTCAGAAACATAACTTCCATTGAGTTCAGTGGTGCAAGACCCAGGTCCTACCCCTTGCATGCAATGTATCTTTCAAGCTGCATGGTGATAAGAAATGTGCCCTACATTCTAATTCAGTGGGTTACAGATGGGGCAGCCCCAACCATTAAGTTTTTCTTTTAAAACACGGTATTTCCCAGGTATCCTACAACTAAGAGGGCATGGATCCTTTACTCCTTCATGTAGTCCTCAAATCACTCCAGTCATCCCATCCTCTCCAAAGAATCTACTCATGGGAGCAAAGATTGCTGGATCAGGGTCACATGGAGCTCTGCACACATGTGATCTGTTATCACTGGATGTGTGTACAGCTTTGTTTATGTTTAGGACCCAGAATAAGTAGCACTTCCTTTTTAATCGCTCATTTGAGCAAAGAATTAAAGGACCCAAACCAAATAACTGGGTGGAATGGGAAGGGCATTGGTCATTGGGCCTCAATGAGTTGAGCTAAGACCGAGCCGAGTTTTGTATAATAATCAACAGTACAGTAAATCATTTGCAAAATACACTACAGCACTACAGCTAGCAGCGTGCGGCTGTGGATGAGTATTAGATAAATTACACATTGTACACTGCAATCGTCTGCTTCCATTTAATCTTTTATTCTTAGTGTACATTCAGTGCCCACACATCAAATGCAGGGGGAGTGCAGCTCCAGCATGAATCGCATATTACCGACTCAAAGGCAAAGTGGGGGGAAAATATTACTTGGTTAAAAAAAACAAACTTAAGTTACTTGTCACACATGGCTCAGTTCCAGAGAGCCGCGCATCCCGCACACTGGCCATCCCTCACTGACTGCAGTTTGGGAAACAAAACTAAAATGGGCAACAACAAAATAGACAGATTTCAACTACTCCGTGGATGCAAAATTTGCTTTAAAAATAAATGAAACAAACTCAGCCCTCCTGTTGCTTTTATATAAAAAAAGAAACCTGTAGAAAACTCTGAACAAGCGACCCGAACACTTTGAATGCCCTCTGAGCTACAGAAAAGAAAAAGAAATCATATCCAACCCGCAAGTCAAAGGGATCAGCCCAAGGAACGCTGTTCTGCCCCAAATCCTCTTCCTCCAGCTTTTTAAAAAAAAAAAAAAAAAAAAGGGGGGCAAATTAAAGCCGGGAAAACCCAAAGTCTGCCCCCCAGCCGCCTTGTGCTGCTCCCCGTCCACTCCCTCTCCCCAGCAGCGCCAGGCTCTGCATGGCAAGCTGGAGGCAGGCGAGGGAGGGTGGGCGGCCTGGGTTTGTTTGCTGAATCGCCAGCCCCTGGAAAGCAGGGCTAGGAATTGCTGACAGCCCCTGAGCTGCAGCGGCGCTAGCGGGCGCCGCTCTAATCCGCGGCTCACACAAGCAGAAGGGTCAGCTCGAGCCAGCCTGCTGCTTTCAGACACCATTGTAACCCGGGAAACAACCCAGTGATTAGATCGGGAGGGGGTGGGCTCCCGATCAATAATGCAGCGTCCTGGGATAGAGGGGCTGGCTGCAGCCACCGTGCCACCGCCCCGCCCTGGAAACTGACATTTGCTATCCCATTTCCCCCTCCTGTTAATTTCACTCAAGGGGGGGGAGGGAAGGGGGGGGCAAGAGGGACAATTTCAATATTGCAGACAAAACTTTGCTCATTAAACGCCCCGTCCTCGCGGCCGCCACAACAATCCCCCCACCCCCCACGCTCCCGGCAGCAACCCCAATAAAGCAGCCGCGATCTGGGACTTACATGACTCCGAGCGCTACAGGAGAGAGAGAGAGAGAGAGACACACACACACACACACACACACACGGGACTGGTCACTTTCAAATCGCGGTGCTTGGGGTTTGCTCCACCCCGCAAAAAATACCCAAAACTGGAAGAATCGGGGCGGGAGAAGCGATTAATTTCCCTTGGGGGGGGACTTTAAAAGGAAAGTGAGGGAGGGTGCATAACCCTCCCCCCCTTCTCCTGGGATGTCTCTGCCTCTGCTCCAAGGACCTCTGGTGCCAGCCGGGCTGGGGCGAACTCACGGGTCATCTCCCATGGAGGATCCCACCACCCTCCTTCCCCCCCCAAAAAAAGTCCCCTCTTTTTGTCTAGACCCAGTGATCTGAGACCAACCTTCTGCCGCACTTCTCCATCCCGGCGGAGGTAGGGAGAAGGGGGGTTAGGGATAGGGGCTGGGTCGGAGCAAAGGGTCTGATCTGCCCCCTCTCCCCTTTCCCCTGGGCCACTGATCAGCACCTGAACGGACGGGAAATTACAGGGCAAACTTTTTCCCGAGACTTTTCCCCCAACTCTTCCGTCGCCCGTGAATGTATCTGCATATTTAGCAAGCACAGGGGCCTTTTCACTCTCATGCACCTACCGGAGGAAGAGCGATCCGGAGCAAGAGCAGGAGAAGCAGCAGCGGCAGGGGAGGAAGGAGGAGGAGAAGGGAAGGATGGGAGCTGCAGCCAGCACCACTCCGGGCAGTGTGTGTGTGTGTGTGTGTGTGTGCGCGCGCGAGCTGTCGCCGGCCGGATTAAAGAGCCAAATCCAGAGCATGCAAAAAAAAAAAAAATTAGCACCTGCCAAAAAATTGTCTCTTTGCAAAGCGAGGGGTGTTTGTCTCCCTCCCCTCGCTGTGGGGCGGGGGGGTAAATCAGCGGGGTGGGGGGGGGGCTGCAGCGCCCAGATCAAAGGGTCGCGTGCATGGGAGGAGGGGGGGCTCACAATGGGAAATTGAAGGGGAAAAAAAAAGAAGTGAAGGGGTGGGGGGGGGTGTTTCTCCTCCAAGGCAGCGTCTCCTTCCCCGCAAACCCACCTCTACATCCCTCCTCGCTCTGGAAGTACATAGACAGCCGAACCACATTGCATAGGGCTGCTGCTGCCCGGGGGCTGCCGGCAAAACCCGGACCGGACCAACTCGCCGGCTGCCCACTGCCGCCGCCTCTGCCATCTCCGCCTCGCTCCCTTGGCCCTGCTCTTTTGCATGCTGAGCGCAGGCTTCTCCCCCCCGCCCTCCCCAGCAACCAGCCCCAAAGTGAGCCGCAGCCCGGGGCAACTCCTCCAGCCGGGCAGGCAGCGCCGAGCCGCCTCCAAAGGAGGTTTTTATGCAATCGCTTTGATTATTATCTGATTAACTTGCAGCGTGGCTGCCGCTGCTGCATTCCCACTGGCCACATCCCAGCCCCCAAGCCCTCTGCCATCCCTCGCTGTCTCCTACACTCCCTCTTTTTGCTCTCTCCTTGTGTTCCCCACCACCACCACCACCACGACGAAAAGCAACTTTGAGTTTATCGCCGTCCTTCCCCTTTAAACAAAATAAAAACAAACCCCAAAGTAAGATGCGAAACTTTGCCCAGCCGGCGTTCAGCAAGCTGGCCTGGGGAGGTGCTAGCCCAGCTGGGCTTGCTTCTCAGGGGCGATGTGATTTTTATTTGGGGCTTTGTTAAACTGGCCTGTTCGGAACTTTCTGGGGGGGGGGGGGGGGGGGTTGGTATAACAAATACCGAGGTTCACGCTGCTTCCTGGTGAAAACACGCTCCTTGTGCCTCGCCACAAAATATCGCCAGCACATGGGCTGATTCATTGTGGAGCCTTTTTTTATGAATAAAGGTTTTCCCAGCGGTTCCTTAGGGGTGTAAATACTTCAACAGACCACTTGTGGTACTCGTGCTAAACTTTGAAAATCCTTTTTATTAATTAATTTATTATTATTATTATAACATGTAGATACAGATGTGCGTGAGCGAGAGCATGAGGATTTAGGTTTCCGCAATGGATTCCGCTTGCTTGGACTCAGAGCGCAGCTTTCTGTGGCATTTCAAGCTATTCTGAGCTGAAATTGTTCAAACTAGTCTCTGTACATTATGAATACATGACATTGGCCCTCAGTCTAATGCAATGTGTCCATTTATTGTATTTTTATTACATACCTTGGGCACATATATATAAATGCCAAATATATATAGATGCCTATATAGCTTCTGCTAACTGCTATAAGGCCCTCTTAAAAGGGATATATTACTTGGGGGGATTGATTGGAAGTGAAGACTACAGCAAAAATTCAGAAATTGACCATCAAGATATAATTAAGCTGCAGGTCCCTTTTGTTTTTTTTCAACACATGATGCAGACCTTTATCCTTATACACATTACCCTGCTGGCCAGGGGATGTGTTATTACATTCTTTAATAATGTATTTTGTATCACTTGTCTCAGGCTGTTTACCGTCTGACAAAGTTTGGGTTTAGCTCGCCGCATGACGTGACCTAGTCTTAGTAACAGAACTCCAGGACAAATAGTGGGAACTGTCTCAGATAATAATTAATTAATAATAGGATCATGTAATAATAGTAAGCACGTCGATAGCACTCTCAAAGCACTGTGCAAAGCTGGGCAGGTGCTATTAAGCCACGCTCCGTACAAGACATTTTCCCCTCAGTTCTTATAGTCCTTCATGTTCACTTTTAAAAATCATGTCTGCTGAGCATCTCCTGCAATCCTGGAGCATGTGTGAGGGACCCACACAGCACCCTGTTGATTTCCATGGGGCTCTGCTAGGGAGCAAGGGTCATCTCTCCCCTCCCCCCTGCCATGCAACGCTACTCGCAGGATCAAGGTCTTACATGGTACAACCTCCATCAATTTCAAGCGGACCAGGACCTGGCCCAGTGCTACTACTGTGCTCAGATGTGCTGGACAAGATAAACAGATGGCAGACAGCTAATCATAAAACTAGGTCTTTGGTTATAAACCACTTGGACTAGGGTGTGTCTCTCTCCATGATACCATACTGAGCTGCTGTCTCAATAAATAATTGTTATGACTGCTTTTCTTTCTGTGTCGCTTATACCTCACACGTTTTGTTCATGTTTGTGTGGCTGATGCCTAAAAAGCCTGGGACTGGGGCCCTGAAAGCTTATTCCGGGTAGAATAAGATAAAATGTCTCCACTCCAATATCCCCTACACAGCATCCAAGTTATCGTCCTCTATATTTCAGGTCAAAAGGCCATATGACCTCCCCTCAGCAAATTTGTAGCTGGTCAATATTTGCTGGTGCCAGAAGCTATTGACTAGCTAGGAAAGCAATAGTCTTTTCAGTCTTATGATGCTGTGTCAGCCAGTTGTATGACAGTTGGTAAGCAATGGGTGTCACAAGTATGTACATCATATATAATCTGAGGATCATGTAAGTACCACTGGTCAGATGTGAACTTCTTACTGAACCCTTCCAGCAGATACGTGAAGAAAACAGGAATGTGATATTTCCTGGTCTTGCTTGCAATACAATCTCAAATGGACTCAGGACCCAATTCTGCAAATGTACTCACATTGACTAGCAGGTGCTCATCCATTTACTTTACGTGTCCATTTAAGGAGTGGGTACTTCCTCCAGCATTACAGGAGGTACAGCTAATGTCTGCTATAGGCAAGGCTGAAAGGCAATTTCTATTCCCACTCTCCTCCATTTCTCGTAACTTCTTTTGGGGCTGAAGCATTATGTGGATTCCAATTTCTTATTCAGTTAAACTGATTATTTATACAGACCATGTGTGTGACCCACAGCTACCATAACAAGACCCTGATCGCTACCACACTACACATTTCCCCATTGCACACCTGGCCAGATGTATGGCAGGGGACAGGGAAGCAGGGGTTATCTTCCCCTGAAGCATCAGGGATTAGCCACAGCTGGAGACAGGACCCTGGATGGGGTGGACTAATGCTCTGAAGTGGTACAGAGAATCCTTTCCAGACGTCTGACTGGTGGGTCTTGCTCACATACTCAGGATCCAACTAATTGCCAGATGTGCAGGCTAGCAGGAATTCTCCCCCCCCAGTCTGATTAGAGGAACCTTGGAGATTTGCTGCCTGCCTGTGCAGCATGGGGTGTGGTTCACCTGCTGGGATCATCCGGGCATATCTCACCTAATCAATTCCCTGCCATGGCAGCAGCCTCTGGCATTGGTGGCCCCTCCATTTTCCTTCTTCTCTGCCTGGGGCACCTCTAGTCTCCTGAGGATGACATGCTTTAGGGCTCACTCAAGTTATTGAGCTCAATATAAGGGTAAATGGGTAAAAATTTCAGGCCTGGGTTTTACAGGAAGTCAGACTAGATCTAAAAAGTCTCTTTCCCCTTAAACTCTATGAAATAAGCGGGATATTTTCAAAGATACAACCAGGGGCCCAGGTACCCAACTCCCACTGACTTTCAAGGAGAGTTGGGTGCCTACTTGGCCTATTGTGCATTTGAAAATCTCCGCCTCAATAAAGACAAAATAATACATCATTTCTATGCAAGGCCCATTACAAACACCTCAGGGGATTAGATCCCTACATCGGACACTGGAAAGTTATATCCAGTTGAAATATTTCTTTCAACCCAACTTTAATGGCTCTCATCAAAATGGAAGACTTACACAGGACATCTACGGTTTTGAGTACGTGTTTCAGGTTTTCCACTAAAAATAAATCTAAAACCCCAAAACTGATTTTTTTTCTATCAATTTCCACTAAAAACTAAAGAAAAATGGTTTATGGCAGAAATTTTTTAGCTTTATGTTGCTGAAAATTGAAAAAACCCTGTTTTTTTGGCTTCTGTTTTCTGATGAAAACCCAACATTTTCTGAAGAAAAATGTTGAGAAAAAATGAAAAAAAACCCCTCTTTTCATTGGCTTTTTTCCCCAGGGGAGGACCCCAAAATCATGTCCTGACCAGCTCTACTTATAGTCATAAGTGAGACAAAAATGCAGACAGTATGTGTATATTGGGGCGGAGGAGGGAGGATTGAAAATGAAAGTAATATGGCTAAGCTGTTTTCATTTGGCACACATCTGGTTAATTCCAAGAGTTTTACATATATCTCTGGTGGGAATGCAGTATTGGCTTCACTCTGCTCCTTGTGAAGTCAAGGAGAGTTTTACACCTGACTTCGATGGGAGCAGAGTTAGGCCAGCGCTAGGTGCTTTGAAAATGCCATCTTCATAAAGGTAAGTTAAAAGGCTAAGGAACTGTAGCCTCAGAAGGAGCAATTTGCAGGCAGCTAGGCCAACAGGAACAGCTGTGTCTGTGAGGAAAGGCAGGTTGAAGCACCACTGCTGCCCTCCACTGGGAGGCATTTTTAAACATTTAAGATAATATTTTCAAAACCGCCTAAGTGATCAAGGAAACCAAGTCTCATTCTCAGAAGGGACTTAGAAATCAATGGGAAGTTAGGGGCCTGTTTTTAAAATCCCACAGAGTACCTATCTGCATCTTCAGATACCTGCATCCCTATACAACCCTGGTCCTAACTCACTCACGGGTTTTTCAAAATGTTACCAACAAAATCAAAGACTGCTTTGGAAGCTAGGCCTATGCAGCCTGCACAAAAAAAAAAAAAAAATCACACAAAGCCAGTGGGAAAGCCAACTCCTAAGCCCCATTATCCACCCATTAGACCACAGATGTCCCATAAAGTTACTTCCAATTCTAACCACCCCCAAGGTTACACACAAAGATTGAAGTTACACAGACAGCATATTGGGTACGGCCTGCTAGCACAGCCCTGTATGATACAGCTCCTAAGCCAGTGAGGCTTGGCGTTGGTCACAGGCATCTCTGCTTGGGGTACTTGTATATCCCCCATGACCATGGTACCTAAGTGCCCCTCAACACAGCCTGTGAGGCAGGGAAGTGCTC